CCCCACCCCAGCTGTGACAACCAAAAATGTCTGCAGACGTCGAATGTTGGGAGCGGACGTGAGGGCAAAACCACCCCTGTCAAGAGCCACTGCCTGGAGTGTGCCAACCAGTGTAGCTCCTTGCCCTGCCCCTCTGGCAAACAGCAAAGACAAATTTTGATTTGATTAACCCATTTGGAAAGCTGTGGTGCCCCAGGTAGCTGCAGGAAGGACCCAGGGGGTGTGCAGGGAAGACTGAACACTCATTGGATGCTGGCATCCTTGGGCCACTGCTCATCACCCCCCAAGAAAACCAGGATGACCGCCCCACCCCACCACCATTTTGTCAAAATACCCACTCAAGTTCTGCAGTGCCAGGGATGAGACCATGAGGCGCCTTTCAGTTGTGGCTTCCAGAGTAAGGATCCCAGACAGAAGTGGGGGCACCCGTCATAGGGGTCATCCCTGACATTCTGCCCCAACCTTCCCCGTCCTGGAGAGAGAGCTGTAGCAACCTAGGCCGAGCCCTGGCTGGCACAGGAGAGTAACCCAGGTGGTTTTCTGTTGTTTTAGCCGCTCATGATGAGATTCCAGGCTGCCCTGAAGAGCCACCTCACCCGGCAGATAGAAAAGCTGAAGCTGGAACTTCAAGAGCTGGTGCGTATCTGGCCCGGCCTCCGCCCCAGCTGAGTGTCTGTGTCCCGGTGACCCTGTTTCTGTGTTTGGTGCAGGGCGTGGCCACCAAGCAAAGCCAAATCCAGCGGCAGGAGCTGGGGGTGAATCTCTATGGGGTGCAGCAGCAGCTGGCCCGCCTGCAGATGCAGCTGGAGACCAGCCACGACCACCACTCCACTACCGCGTGCCAGAGGCGGCAGAAGGAGGAGGAGCTGCAGAGCGTGCGCCTGCTCTACGACAAGACCTGCGCGACCGCCAGCGACGAGCGCAGGAAGCGTAAGGCAGCTCCACGTGCCGTGTGCCACCGCATCCCCAGGGGGGGTCATCCCCGCGTGCCACCGCGTCCCCAGGGTCGTCCCCGCGTGCCACCCGTCCCCAGGGTTGTCCCCGCTTCCCACCGCATCCCGGGGGGGTCATCCCCGCCTGCCACCATGTATCACTGCATCCCGGGGGGTCATCCCCGTGTGCCACCGTGTCCCTAGGGGTCATCCCCGCGGTCATCCCCACATGTCACTGCATCCCAGGGGGTCATCCCTGCGTGCCACCGCGTCCCCGGGGTCGTCCCTGCGTGCCACCACATCTGAGGGGGCGTCACCGTGTGCCACCGCGTCCTTGGGTGGATGTCGCCACGTGCCAACGCGTCCCTGGGTGCGTCCCCACGTGCTATACCGCATCCCCGGGGAGTCATCCCCGAGTGCCACTGCATGTCACCACATCCCAGGGGGTCGACCCCGCATGCCACCACGTCCCCGGGGTCATCCCCGTGTGCCATCACGTCCCCGGGGGGTCATCCCCTCGTGCCACCGCATCCCCGGGGGTTGTCCCCACATGCCACCGCGTCCCCGGGGTCATCTCCGTGGTCACCCCCGCGTGTCACCGCATCCCGGGGGGTCATCCCCGCTTGCCACTGCATCCCAGAGGGGCGTTGCCACGTGCCACCACATCCCCGGGCGCGCATCCCCGTGTGCCAGCGCGTCCCCAGGGGGCACCTTCGCGGGCCACTGCATCCTCAGGGGCGTCCCCGCGTCCCCGGAGGCATCCTCGCGTGTACACCTCCACGTGCCATTGCGGGTCCCGGAGGGCTTCCCACCCTTTTTAAGAAGGGCAAGCACACAAATATCTGAGAAGGCACCTAAGTGGGCCAGGCAGCAGATGCTGAAACCGGCCACCGTCGGTCGGGGTGTGGTGACACATAAACGGGAGAGGAGAGGCGGGCTGCAGAGGTCCAGAGATGGGCGAGTCCAGAAGGCGAGAGCGCAGAGGCGGGCAGGGGNACCAGCCACGACCGCCACTCCACTACCGCGTGCCAGAGGCGGCAGAAGGAGGAGGAGCTGCGGAGCGTGCGCCTGCTCTACGACAAGACCTGCGCGGCCGCCAGCGACGAGCGCAGGAAGCGTAAGGCAGCTCCACGTGCCGTGTGCCACCGCGTCCCCAGGGTCGTCCCCGCGTGCCACCCGTCCCCAGGGTCGTCCCCGCTTCCCACCGCATCCCGGGGGGGTCATCCCCGTGTGCCACCGTGTCCGTAGGGGTCATCCCCGCGGTCATCCCCACATGTCACTGCATCCCAGGGGGTCATCCCTGCGTGCCACCGCGTCCCCAGGGTCGTCCCTGCATGCCACCACATCTGAGGGGGCGTCACCGCGTGCCACAGCGTCCTTGGGTGGATGTCGCCGCGTGCCAACGCGTCCCTGGGTGCGTCCCCACGTGCTATACCGCATCCCCGGGGAGTCATCCCCGAGTGCCACTGCATGTCACCACATCCCAGGGGGTCGACCCCGCATGCCACCACGTCCCCGGGGTCATCCCCGTGTGCCATCACGTCCCCGGGGGGTCATCCCCTCGTGCCACCGCATCCCCGGGGGTTGTCCCCACATGCCACCGCGTCCCCGGGGTCATCTCCGTGGTCACCCCCGCGTGTCACCGCATCCCGGGGGGTCATCCCCGCTTGCCACTGCATCCCAGAGGGGCGTTGCCACGTGCCACCACATCCCCGGGCGCGCATCCCCGTGTGCCAGCGCGTCCCCAGGGGGCACCTTCGCGGGCCACTGCATCCTCAGGGGCGTCCCCGCATCCCCGGAGGCATCCTCGCGTGTACACCTCCACGTGCCATTGCGGGTCCCGGAGGGCTTCCCACCCTTTTTAAGAAGGGCAAGCACACAAATATCTGAGAAGGCACCTAAGTGGGCCAGGCAGCAGATGCTGAAACCGGCCACCGTCGGTCGGGGTGTGGTGACACATAAACGGGAGAGGAGAGGCGGGCTGCAGAGGTCCAGAGATGGGCGAGTCCAGAAGGCGAGAGCGCAGAGGCGGGCAGGTGTAGGTAGGTGGAGACGCACAGGTGAGGCCGCTGTGAGGGGCCGGAAGCCTGGAGCAAGGGTGGGGCCCAGTGTTGTGAGGCAGGTTAGTGGGAAATCCAGTAGCTCTGGGTCAGAGGCTGCAGCGACTCGGTCACGTTACATGCAACATTATTAATAAAGCTACGCAGTGCAGAGGATGTAGGTGACAGTCAACAGTGGCTTCCTCATGCGGCCGCAGATTATTCCAGCTTTGTGCTTTTTTTTTTTTTTCCTTTTTGTCTTTTTTTGTGACCGGCAACGGATTGCAACCCTCAGTGTCGTGCCCATACTGGCCCAGGACCGGCAACGGGATCGCAACCCTCGGTGGCTCGCCCGCACCTCGCTCAGCCAGTGAGCGGCCGGTCTGTATGTGGGATCCGAACCCTCGGCGGGAGCGCTCAAGCGGCGCACTGTAGCAGTGCGCCACCAGGCCAGCCCAGCTTTGTGCTTTTTGATGTTGCCAACTTTATCAATTCTTTGTTACTATTATAATGGGGAAAAAACCTGAGAGAATCTGAAGTCCATCCCAGGTGCTCTCGGAAGATGCATTTTGAACCCTGAGAAATGCAGGAGAGGCTTCTGGAATGTTCAGAGTTAGGGTAAGTGGGCCTTTATCAAGAACCTCTCACCAATTATCGCCAAATTAACAGAAAACACCAAAAAGGGAAGAACGTGACATCCACGCTGAAACTAAAGAGCGCTTCTCCAGATATAGCAGAATTTAGACCAACCTGAAAGAGGGGACACACACCCAGCCCCCAGCCCCTGCTCACCCCTGCTGGCCGGGGAGCCCTGGAGCTGGGGCAGAGTCCAAGGAGTGGCGGGGCTTCTGGAAAGATCCAGACATCTTCATGGACTTTGTGTGCTTTCTGGAAATCAGCAGAGGGCAGGAGCAGAAGCCTCTCCACCAAGCNCCTCGCTCAGCCAGTGAGCGGCCGGTCTGTATGTGGGATCCAAACCCTCGGCGGGAGCGCTCAAGCGGCGCACTGTAGCAGTGCGCCACTGGGCCGGCCCAGCTTTGTGCTTTTTGATGTTGCCAACTTTATCAATTCTGTTACTATTATAATGGGGAAAAAACCTGACAGAATCTGAAGTCCATCCCAGGTGCTCTCGGAAGACGCATTTTGAACCCTGAGAAATGCAGGAGAGGCTTCTGGAATGTTCAGAGTTAGGGTAAGTGGGCCTTTATCAAGAACCTCTCACCAGTTATCGCCAAATTAACAGAAAACACCAAAAAGGGAAGAACGTGACATCCATGCTGAAACTAAAGAGCGCTTCTCCAGATATAGCAGAATTTAGACCAACCTGAAAGAGGGGACACACACCCAGCCCCCAGCCCCTGCTCACCCCTGCTGGCCGGGGAGCCCTGGAGCTGAGGCAGAGTCCAAGGAGTGGCGGGGCTTCTGGAAAGATCCAGACATCTTCGTGGACTTTGTGTGCTTTCTGGAAATCAGCAGAGGGCAGGAGCAGAAGCCTCTCCACCAAGCAAGGATTGTATCATACAGCACTGTTTTCCCCTCTGAGCACTAAACATGCGGGCAGTGGTCCCAGCCCTGACCATGGGGCCACTGTCCCTTAGGTGAGACATGGGGTTTGGCCCCTTGAGAATGTCTACAGTCATCCGCCTCATCTGGGAGGGAGGCAAAGCCCCACAGGCACTAAACCTTCACGTCAAAATGTGAGTCACCATTGGGCGATCTCCAGACACAAGAGACAGGGCTGGACAGACAGAGCAAACCCAGCCACCGACACAGAGAGAGCATGCGCCAGGTGGCATTCTGAATGAGATTTTAGAGGACGTTGCATCAGTAAATGAGAACAAAGTGTTAGGGAAAAGGATACTTGGAATTAAAAAATATAATCAATCATCTAAACAAAAAGGGTACCAAACAGACAAATGAAAACTGAATTTGTGAACAAACACTCCAGTTTGAGGAATCCTCCCCAGAATTCAGAGCAAAATCCAAAATGATGGATGTTTTAGGAAGTAGATAAAAGACATTGAGGACGGATCTAGGAAAATCGATGCCCGTGAGACTTCAGGAGGTGACAGGCAGTACCTGCTACTGCAGGAGTGTGCTGGCGCGCGCTCGAGAGAGACAGATCCTCAGATACAAAAGCGTGAGACGGGCCAGACAGCTGGGAAAAAAATAAGCATGCCTAGACATCACTGGTGAAATCTTCAAATTCCACAGGTAAAGGAGAAAATGCCACAGGCTTCTAGGCAGGACAAAACCAGTTTACCTCGAGAGGACTGCAGCCAGCTGACCCCAGGATGCCCCTTGGAGGAACCGAGGGGAGCTCAGAACCACCGGGACCCAACCAGACCAGCCCAGGTTTCTCATTCATTTGTTCTGGGAAGGGCCAGGCATTCACTGTTCATTTCTTGTTTTTTTTTTCCCTAAGCCTTCAGATGATTCTAATGTGGAGCCAGGGCCTGAAAATCGCAGATCTTAAATAGAAGTGGCAGTGTAGTGATGCTTACAGAGTTCTAAGCAAAGAGGATAAACAGGGATCCAATATACACAGCAGTTACAGACGCTTGGAAGTTAATGACCAAGGAAAGTCCATGTGCAAAAACATCTGGGAGGAGCCAAAATGACTCAGACAAACCCACAGACTTGCACAGTTTTAGTTCCATTTTCATAAGAGTTTAAAACAAAACATGGGCCGGCCCGGTGGCGCACTGCTACAGTGCGCCACTTGGGAGTGCGGTGGCGCTCCC